TGCATTCAGAACCTCAGTAACAGCTACGTCCAGAAGCCCATAATATTCGCGTCATTGGATATCCTCATCGATGTGAAACATTCAGTAGGCAACGTTGAACAGTGAGTTGCATGAATGTCGCTCCGTTTAGTTATAGAGAGTAGGAACTTTTAGCAACTAACAATGTCCAATAGCAGAGCGAAAATTAAGGTTACGTAAAGGAGATGGGTGAAAACACCTTCTTTCTAGCAGTTGATGTAATTGTTGTCATACTGTGGAGTAATGTGTCACAGGAACGTGCAGTGCTAATCTAAAATGGTTTCTCTCTCATTGACTGCATAGATGAAAGAATTTATCAAAAGCACATGTAAAATAGTTCTACATAATGGTTCCTCAGACCACTTAGTGCAGCACAAAGAGGAACGTCCTTCACATCGCGTATATTCATTGCACTATGTAGAATTTCTACTATTAGAGGTTACTGGTTACTTACTCTAATGTTTTTGTATCAGTAATTAACGTCAATTTGATGTAACACTATTGTATTCTTACAAGTCGCCTCCTGTGAATGACGACATGGATGAGTCTGAGCTAGTAGCGTGCGGATCAGCGCTTCTGCAGCAACTATCAGACAATTTCTCGTCGTACGACAAAGAGACTAAGCCGAGCGTCCACGTCTCAGGCTTGGTTTCGATTAGGGAAAAGGGTCCTGGAAGTGCCCCGAAACAGTGCCAGGTTTGTTATATAATACGTCTTCCAGTTGGATCGACCATCCAGATTTGTGACTTCATAACTTTTAATTAGCGTCAGGAATTAAAACATTTATATTTATCACCACTTACTAATTTTGTCCAAGTTTTCACATAGCGAATTGACTTTATTTCTGCAAATGTTTATAAACAATCTAAGCAGTTTAGTTGTGCGAGCAATGGATTACGGCAAAGAATACGCGCGTTCACGTCGCTGCCCATCTTACTCTTAGAAGGTATGTTAGGATATATTCTTGGAGAAAACTTTTTTCCTATTTGATCCTTTGATGCATGAAGTCGGTTGGGGATTTAATGAGCCAAGTTCTATGTCTTTTCTTTTCAACAGAGTGAAATAGTTCCCAGGATCGACATTCCGTTAACCGCGGCACTGGATTATAAATTGGTTGTTTTCCTTCCCAGCAATCATGAGGTTATTAAACAGCATACGTTTACTTCCATGCAATAACACAACACAATCGTAGCTGACGTTTCGGCAGAATCGCCTTCTTCAGAGCCTGGAAGGGTACACTAATACGCAACTTACTAGGTCAAACGCTTTAATAACACATACAGAAAATTGAAAACCTGCGTGATAATTACAAGATCTACGGCTTCTCGAAAAAACTCACCGCTTTTTTCACCTGTCTTCCACCGAGGAAGAACAGCCGCTCAGAGTCGTATGTGGTTGACGACTCCACCACCCCATATCAACGATGGATACGAAGGCACGGTGTGAGATCACGCGTGATCTCGGGGCATTCCTCCCTGCTGTTCATTGTAGGATTTTTGGGTTTTTTCCAAAAAGCTTCGAGGAGTTTGCGCGTTGGTGTTTTAGGATCCCGTACGAGGATAGCGACTTTTATATCAAAATCGTCTCGCAATGCTTTTGTATCCTATGCGTCCCTAGTGGCGTGCCTTGCCTTGTTTTTCGTTGCCATCAAGGTGTTCTCTTATGTGGATACACAAGGGTCTGCCCGTTTCGCCAATATATTCGTCTCCGCAATTATCATTCAGATTTTCACCTTTCTGTTTGTGCTGCTCAAGCGTTTCACCTAGCAAATTGTATATCAGGGTGAAATAGTTCGGAGCCATATCTAACAAGTCGAGTACTTAATGGGAAAAAATAGTAGATATTTTCATATGTTGGATATGGAGAAGAAACTTCTCAAAGGTTTACCGCCTCATCGTGGCTGGAAAGTGTTCCTGGGTGGTGGACTGCGATGTACAGCGGTGGGATTCATCTCCTTGCAGGGTCCCTCAACCTGAGGAATCCGGAGTTTTCATCAGGATGCACAGCTAAGAGTAAGCCAATACCAGGATCCACCATCGACCTGGTATCAAACTAGTCGCATGGTGGCGAATCTCTCTAATTCACAATGGTGGCGACTGCCTAGCGTGGTGACGATCTAAGGGCTTTGCCAGGTTAACCTCAGATGCCAGGGAAACAGTGGCTGAACCAGCAAAACTCCGGGAAAATGGAGATTATGCTGGGGTCTGCACAACCAGTGAGGAGGGGCTGACCAAGTATCAAAGTAAGTAGGGATATGGGAAAGTAGACTGCAATGAACTATTTTGAACAGAAAACTTGAATGATGCAACAGTATTCAAGGAAAATCTTACTAATGAGAATGAAAGAAATTTCTGCACCTCTTCATTTTTGACAAAAAAAAGGCAGGGTTGTTTACTGAGAAACATTAAGACTTTTGAAGTTCTAAAGCAACGAATGTCTGGAAGGCACGAGCAGCTTTTTCTTTGTTGGCTTTTTCCTTAGAGGTAGATGACGAGGCGCTTATGAAAGTGGTGGCCGATTGATCCAATAAGTACGGCGTGAGATCCAGTGTTTTATACACTGGTTCGTTCCAATTTCCAACACTAGTTGCTCAGTGTGATTGGTCTTTCAGAAGATGTTATCTGATGAACAAAGTATATATACTTGCCGATTTCTAATGTATACCATCGTTTCCATGCTATCTCTCCCCGGCTGTGGTTATTCTGTCAGGACTCAGAGAACTGCGATGCATTGTTACGGTTGCAAACCACCAAACAGTCACCATAACCTTCGTTGGATGGAAATTAGGACTTGTTAACTGTTTATTGGTTTAACATTGCACTGAATCTTCTCAGTTGTCGTGTAGGTTGTCGTCTTTTCTTCGAGCATCATGCTGCTATTGAGGAGTTCTCTTTTGTTGTCAAAAAGAGGTTCAAACGAGCTACCAAGCTTTGTTACTATCTCAATCTTTAGAATGAAGACTGATCGCTGGCCGCCCTGGTCGTTTGTGGGAAGTGTGGGGTTCCATACAATAGACGTGAAGATGGGTCGGATAAAATGAAATAAAAAATAACTTCTAGAAAAAGGCCACACTGCATCAAGCAAAGTTTGGTCGCTTATACAACAGATAAGCTCGAAGATGAGTCAGTAGCCATGTAAGAAATAAGCATTAATTGTAAAAAAAATGTCTATAAACCCACGAAACAAAAAGCAATCACTGGTTATTGCAACCGTTTAATACTTGAGGTTGCATATCTCAGGTTGATCGCGTGGTTAATAAACCTTTAATTTCAGCGTTACTGAATGCTTTGAATTTAGGCTACGTTGCTCAGCATGTGGTCAAGGTTTCGACCGTATGAATCGCGCATCTGTTCACATCGACAGGTGCCATCCCGATGATCCAACAGCAAAAGTGGAATCAGCTATGTTAGTTCCGCTGTAAATATCCTCTTTAAGACGGCTTCCCTCTACTTTGTATGGCGTCAAAACTGGCTTTGAGTGCTTGTAAATGTTGCAGAGAAGGAAAGCGGTCTCCATTCATGCGCTCCGAAAACTTAGAATGCACAAAGTAAACAAGGATCTAGTTAGAATAAATGCGTATCATTGGTTTTTGTTCCGGTTAACGATGTCTACTCCGAATGTTTGGAACCAATTTTACAGTACTCAGAACCTGTTTAGATGATGATTTAGTTTCTTGAGACCGCACTCGGTTGTGAGAACGTTGGACGGTACAATTTTTGAATGCAGCACATTTGTTTTCAGGAAAAGACGTTATGGAATAACTAACCAGATCTTAGTAAATGATCCTGCGCATAGTCCATTACGTAGGAGTGGCTATCGCTTTGCGACCCACATGTGGTGGCCCTCAATGGATTGTGTTAAAAACGTTTTGAAACTTGCCCACAAAGCTATTATACAGAACCTCCTAAATTAGTTTCTGTAGTAAAAGCTGAAACTGGAAGTCGAGACTTTTAAAGAAACTTTTGACTCACAGAATATTTCATCATTCTGTGTTCCATTAATTTCTGAAAGGTTTCTGATAAACCGGACGGGGCCATAGGAGAAGCATTGAAGTGATCTCTATGAACGTTTTCGAACTTTGGCGTTTTTCTTTCTTAATATGGTATTCTTAAGGAATGCTGAACAACGAAAGCAAATCGACATGCTGGCGATGCAATGCTTTCCTCGTCGGAAGCTCGCTAATCCGTCAAATGAAACGAATTGAAGAAACTCGCGCAAGGTGGCAGCTTTTTGTTCTAACCTGTATTACAGATGATAGATTTTCAACCTATTTCTTGGTTGTAATTGCGCAGTAATTCCCTATAAATGTTCTGTTGATATTGTTCTGTTTGTATTAAAAGAATATACCAACTAACATCTTTTCCGTGGCACTAGAATACTCTTGTTGAGCTCCCGGATGGAAAACCAATTCTTTCTCAGCCTGCAGAACCTGCTAGTGGTGAACACCAATCTGTACACTTAAGTATACGTATGCAAGTTGAACCAGTCACAACAACATCGTACATTTCAGATAAAACACCACTCAAAATTCTTTATTTCGGATCGAATGAGCACTTCATCGTAAATGTAAACTTGTTAAGCAATTCTCTTCACAACTGAACGATAGCAAACAGATGTTAAATAGACCAGTGAATAGCAGGAACGTAGAAACCTTACAATGCGATGAGAAAGATGCTCGAGAAAAGAAAACTACTGACAGAGAAAATGCTGCTGTAAAAGCAAAGGAAGCATTGCAAACAAATCTCTCTACGGTTTTCATAACAAACATGGAGATGTGAAATCTGATCTGAATGTAAGTGGCGTCAGTGCACTCGACATGGCGCAGATGTCATAACTGCGTATCTGGTCGGGAGTGAAATATTTCTTCGTCACCTAGAATTTCACAATCAGAACTGATTTCATGTAACACGTACCTTTAAGCAGGAACTTGTTCCTATAGAGAACCACTTACATTGCTCCACTTGCGCACAGTTCGTCTAGTAGGAATCGAAGATTCAAAGAATTTCAGAACAAACGCTTAAAAGAAAGAATAAAACTCGAAGAAATCGCTTCCATGAAAAAAATGTATACACAAACCAGTGGCACCTAGTGCTGGCACCAACCTCCCTTCAATGCTCACCACTCTTCCGAGATAATTCCCGCAATTTGGCCTAATGCAGAACATCTAGAACAATACCACTCGATGGTGAAAAAAACAGGATGGGGATGGCTCTGATGTAATCGGTAAGTGAAACCCTAGGACATTTTATGAATTTCCTCACACTTATCAAAGATCCATTTTAGCTCATAACCTAAAAGTTGAATAAAAGTATGTATGGAAATCTCGGAGAAAAACAACTCTACACGAGATTATGACTCTTTAATGCGAAGCGAACTATTCGCCCAATTCACAATGAAGACCATCTCCTCTGCACCACAACACTTGTTGCTTAACCTCTACACGACGAAAACGATTTTGCAGAAACACATAGCAATTTTTTAAATGATAGAGCGGTAGACGAGTTGCAAACTTTGCAGGCTTATAGAATAGACTTTGCTGCATCGCTAAGAAAAGTAGATAATCCCCATAGACAATTTTTTCAATTGTAACCTCGTTTTCACACAATATTCTGAAAATTGAAAATGGAACAAAGATTTCGAAGCATCTCATGTGAGCACGGTGGCCGTACAGATGCACTGGAAAGCACCATTGTTTTCTGCTAGAACGAATTCCGTTGTACGACTTTTTTCCTCTTCGAAATACGATTTCTGGAGAAAAAAAAGGGTAAAAATGTATTGTGGCGGCCAAAGCATAGAATCTCATCATGATAAAGCGAGAAGTGTTTCATCTTGTTGAGAAAGATCTTTTGATTCTAGCCATTTTTTGGTTCAAAGCTGAAAGACATTTGAAAGAGTGAGAGTTTGGTTTCGTATAACAGTTATAGAAGTTATATCGACAGGTAAGTGTTAAGAACCTACCTAGCAACGTTAGAAAACCAATCCCAGCGCCAGATGGTTTATAGAAAACCCAACTCCTCATTCAACCGCCATTAACATAATCGCAATGATGCCTAATTGATCGTGGAACGCCCAAGGAAGAATGCCAAATTTTTTTCCCTACTCACTATGACTCTTAAGGAGGTCAACACTGGCCATAATGTCCTGCAATCTTGAAGCTGGACCTGTTTTTCATTATATAATTCGGTTTTTTCGGCGTTTTGAAAGAAATCTGCGTTTCTCTTGCTCTACGTATGTCCAATGTTCTTTTATAGACCAGGCTCCACCCCCGCACCCCCACCCTACCTCATGTTTTTTGGTGCACGCACACGAGTTGTTTGTCAAAAAGGACGCTGCACTCTGCATGCAATGCTTGTTCTTAGACAACTTCCGATATTGGCACGTCGTTTTTGCAAAACAAACTTTGCTCTACCGTGTCATTGTTCTAGCCCAATCATAGACCTGGTGAGATTGTGCTATGTCTACACTTTCAATGTTTAGGAAAGGGTGTAGAGGTCGACAAAACCGATTTGTCAGACTTGTTCTCCCCGATTTCACCACGGTTGACTTTGTAAAGTGGCAAGTGCTACTAGTAATTCGTTGTTGGTATGACTATTCTAACGCGTGGCATCGGTCCCCACGCCCATGGCTCACCAAGCCTTCCATTCCTCCGGGGTCGGCAAACTGGTACCAGACTTGTCTGGGAGGATAGCAACACTAGCCCGATGCATCGGTAGGCCACCGCGGGTCATTATAAGGGCCAGATATGCATTCAATCACCTCCAACGGTACTTAATGAAGTCGAATGCATGGAGCATCTCTCAGGGATTGATCAACGTCGAGAGCTTTATCCTTTATCCTTTATTAATATTCTGTTCCATACGAAATAATATGCTGATTTCAATGTACAACTTTTTATTTACTGCCTATTATTCTTTCATGGCAGGGCACTTATGTGAAACACAACCATAATGTTATTATTCTTTATTCACGAATAAGCTGACGTTTCGGCGGATTTCGCCTTTCTGAGAGCCTGGAATGGTCAAGTTGTTAGCAATCTACTCACCCAGACACCTCCATAACCAAACAAAGGAACTCTAAATCGAGATTTCATCAGAATAACAGTCTTATATACTGCCATATATCACGCATAATAATGAGGCATTCTTCCCTGCGGTTCATTTTCGGATTCTTGGAATTAATCCAAAACGCCTCGAGAGTTTTGCTCGCTTGCGTTCTAAATTTTTGTGCGAGGATCGTGACACTTGCTTTAAGGTCCTCCCCGTTATGTTTCTAGGTCCTATGCGTGCCTAGTGGGGTATTTGGTTTGAAAGTGAACCGCAAGGAAGAATGCCTCATTATCACGCGCGATGTAGGGCAGTATATAAGACTGCTATTCTGATGGGAGGGGCACATTATGCTTCCATGTGATTTCTGTGCGGTTGGTCTTCACGTGGCATACTTAGTGGAAACCTCAAAGAAAGCGGTGAGTGTGCAAAGCTGTATGCAATGTGTTTGAAATCTTGGTTTAGAGTTTCTCTGTTTGGTTATGGAGGTGTCTGGCCGGGTAGATTGCTATCAACTTGGCCTTTCCAGGCTCTGAGGAAGGCGAAATCCGCCGAAACGTCAGCTTTTCGTGAATAAAGAATAATAACACCTCGCATTTGCTCAACAAAAATACGAAGAATTACTTGATCAATGCCGAGGTTAATAGAAAGTCGGTTGTGGGAGTTACAACCATAATGATGCTGAGCTATTTGCAAAACACGAAACGCCAGGCCAGCTGCGAATACTGATTACCCCTTCGAGGAACTCACGTGTTACCACTGCACTTATAGAGAACATTCTTCACGAATATTGGAATGTTCTCTATGTAAATCAATTACAACCTTATTTCAAACATTTCAAATACTGTTTCCGGTGACCTTTTCTCCATGACGATCTGATAACCTTATGTCAAACATTTTCGAATACGACTTCCGGTGACCTTATGACGATCCGATAACCACATAGCTAACATTTCGTTGGCGGTTATCTCACAAAAAACATCTGCAGTTACAGTCCTATGCTTTGACTATCGCCTTATCAGACTGCAACGCTTTTGAAATGTTTCCGGCAGCCGTCCTTCCACCTACTGTAACCCCACACCACCTACTGTAACCCGACTCCGCCTATTGTAGCCTGACTCCGCCCAGTTCAAAAGGTACATAAACGGCTCCACGGCGGACTAGCTCAGGTCACAGCAATGCTGCCCAAATCACCATATCCTTCCCTCACATCGATCTCATGTGGTCGAAGTCATATGACAACCTCTTCACTCTTCAGCAACCTGAACACAAGAAATCAGGCTGCGTCTATTCATTACTTGTATCACTGTTGTATTAATTGTACAGTTGTATTGTTATGCCATAATTGTTGTATAATTATGATAAACGGTTTAATTACCCAAGTTTGAGGTTTCCGGCATTGTGACTGCTACTTATAAGAAGTCCCGCTTGGCGTACACAAAGGCGAGCAGAAAGTTCCGACCGAATCATCTTAACTACTTGGTATTCCTATATAATCGAGCCGTCCCAACATCACTACCGAGGTCCTTGCCTTGCCTCTTTCTCAGCCAGTTTTTTACCTACCGCTTTTACCCATCAGCAAAACCCGTCAACGGGAATAATGCGGAGATCACACATCAATACTGAGCCCAGTTAAGCAGCAGCTGTACTGGAATTCGCAACGTATAAATTTTTGTTTGCTATCTAATAATTTTTTATGGCAGGTACTTTGTGAAATATAGCCACTGAAATACCTTCTGCTAGACCATGAGGAATTACAAGTTCGACATCAAAGTATTCGAGTCCTGTTGCAAAGGTGGATATACATTCAAAATTGTGTATACGGGTAGAGACGCTTCGAAGTCAGGAACTATGGGAGAATCACTACAATGAAGCTTATGGATGAGAGATTAGAAGAAAGCAAACATTTGTACATCGATAATTGGTGTATACCAGAAGTCTCTCGTTGACCAGAAGTCTATTAGAAAGAGGAAAGCATCTAATTGACATATGCAGAACAAATAGGAAAGGAATTCCAATACAAGTTCTCCGTAGTAAGCTGCATAGAAGATAATCGAAGGCTCAGCAGAGTCGAAGTGATGTAACGCTGCTTAAGTGGAAAGAAAAAAGTATCCTTCTGTTGCGTATTGAGGGGAAAGCAAAGCATAAGAGGCTAGGTAGA